TGTGTGTGTCAGTGTGTGTCTGTGTATACATATACAAATATTTACTTCCTGGTGATCCACAATAATATCTTTGAGATGCTTTGTGTCACATTTTTTTAAAGTTATGAACTTAAAGATACAAGACAAATTCAGCCTGTAGTTATCCTGTAAAGAATCTCCCTAGCTCCCAAACCAAGTAAATAAGGATTGTCTAGCTTTGGGGTGAAAGTCTGTATGTAACCATCTTTTCAATGAGGATTCCTTAGGAAAAAATGTGTTTGGATTGAATTTGCTCTAAGTAATGTTTACTATTCTAATATACTTTTACTATTTATAAAAAAATAGTATTTCTATTTTTAAGATTTTGTCTTCTGTGGTGGAGAACTTAGAATATTTACAGATACCTTCATTTAATTTATGCTACATGTATAAATGTATGAATAATGCCACGTTCAGTTCACTAATAGCAAGCTACTATAATAAGGCTACTTCCATTTCCTGAAATATAGCAATTCTAATACAACTAAGCTGAGATGGAGTCTTTTTTTAATTTTGAACTTTATGGAAGAAGTTTGTTCTCACAAAAATAAAGGTCATGGTTTCAATTCCCATTGAGATATGCTAGTTACAAAAGAAGAAAAAAGTTTTCACAGCCACAAATTCTTTCTCAACCCTGGCGAAATTATTTGCAAAGATTTTTGGGCACAAAAAGGGGTTATGAGAGTGAATCTGGAAAGCCCTGTGCGAACCCATCTGGGAGAAAATGAAAGTACAGATGGCATATCGGCAGCAGATTCATCTACGATGAGGAGCAGATGTTTAAAATGTCCTATTTTTAAACATCCCAATGTAGTTTCAAGATTATCAGTGTCAAGGGTGGGCAATTTTTATATTTACAGAAATTACCTCACTCATGCAGTCATTCACATATATTCACCAAGCACATACTGTGTGCCTGGCACTGCCCTGTAAAGCTGGGCAAGACAGTGCCTGAGCCTGTCCTATTCAGGCCTGTGTTACAACCTGGGAAGACAGTAATGCCTTGGAGGAGAGAAGACTCAGCTGGGTAAGACCAAAAACAAAACAGCAAAAAACAAACACAAAAAGAAGCTTTCTCTTTTAATATATAAATCATGAAAATGCACCACATACATAAAGACATGCACTGTACATTTGTGGTATTAAAATGTCATGGGGATTCCGGTATGGTAATACACTCTTATAATCCCAGCACTCTAAGATGCTGAGGCAAGAGAACCGAAAACTTGAGCCCAGCAAGACCCAGTCTCAAAGTAAATAAGGTTCAATCATTCAATCCTCATCTCTCTGTCTCTCTCTCTCTCTCACACACACACACACACACACATCATGGGGAGGAGTGATTAGGAATAAAACATCTGAGAAGATCCTGAGGAAGGCAATAAAAACAAGTTTGAATCTCTAATCCCAGCAACCTGGGAGACAGAGACTTGAAAATTCAAGCCCAGCATGAACAACTCAGTAAGATCTATGTTAAAATAAGAAAAGGCTGGAAATGTAGCCCAGTGCGAAGGTCCTGGGTTCACCAGTACAACAAAAACAAAAATAATAATACTTATGTAGTGGGAAGAAAACAAGCAAGTGATTATAAGGAAATGTGATAACTACAATGGTAGAAATCATACAGAATGTTGGAGCTGTTCATACCAGAACACCTAACTCAGTATAGAGCAGGAAGTCAAGGAAGGCCCAACTCCTGGGGAGGACATAGGTGAGATGTTAGGGATGGATGGACAGTAGGAATTACTCAGACCAGCAGATAGGCAGTGATGGGCTAGAATCAAACCAGAAAGGGCTTATGGGATATACTTGGCAAACACTCACATACACTATCCCTGCGGAAAATAGATGTACACCCTAATTTATCTAGCTTGTCCAATTCAGGTAACTGGCTCGCAGAGTCTGATACAAAAACACAGATTACTGACACCTACGTCTGTGTCACATTTATGGAAAGCAAATCCGGCCTGTTTAACATAAGGGCCTTCCTTTCCATTGTCCGCCACTATCTGACCACCTCCTGCCAGACAATTCCAACAGCCTGTGTCGACTTCTCCCCCTCCAATCGCTCCACAGCACAGAACACTTCAGAGCCTTCTGGAGGGATGTACCCGGTCGAGCTGCCTGGAGCGTAGGTATTTCCTTTCTCCATACCTTCATCCTACTCCAGTCAGCTCCTCAGCCTGACAGTTAGGGTTTGTTACCCACCTGAGGAAATGTGAGCATTCCTTTCAGCCAACAGTTCTCCAACTTTTAACCTATTGTGAGCTGTGGCCTTCCTATCACTCATCCAGTCACTACCACTGAGAGCCTGCTCTGTGCCGGGCATTGTTCTCACCCGAAAGACAGAGCCAGACAGGGTGGCCAGGTCCTTCATGCATGTGGTTTGCTTTGCTAGACAGCAAAGACACAGAGGATGTATTTGAACCAATAAATAAATCTAATCATTTGAATTAAGAACGAGTGTTAAGAAGTAAATACAAAGAGGGTGACTTTAGATAAGGAGATGGGAGAATAAGGCTGACAAGTGACATAGAGACTGAGACCTCAAATAGCCAGCTTTGGGCAAACATTCAAAATCTTCTAGCTATTTTGAAATGTTTGAGGCGATAGATATGCTAATTAGCCTGGTTTGATTACTACACATTGCATACAGAATCAAAACATCCTACTGAGCCTCTTTCTTTCTTTCTTTCTTTGGTTTTGGGGATTGAACACTGTGCCTCACCTACACTAAACATGCACTGTACCACTGAGCTACAACCTAGCTCAAATCATACTATTCTTATGTATTAATTTAAAATAAAATAAAGCTAAAATAACTAAGTACACAATTAAAACTAAAAAATACTCAGCCATGTAACTATCAGAAGGAAGAAAGCAGGAAACTGAGAGTGGGGATGCACTAACATGGTTATGCTATTATGAAAATGTCGTTATTTTCATTATCAGTGGTTTAGCGCACCGGTCCCCAGGCCCTGGGCCGCAGACTGACGTGGGTTGCTGGCAGGGTAGGAACTTGGGTGCTCTGCAGGAGGGGAGCAGCAGGAGAGCAATTCCCCTGTGTCTACAACCACTGGCTACTGCTCACATCACCACTTGAGCTGCACCTCCTGTCAGATCAGCAGTGGCATTAGAATCTCACAGGAGTGCAGACTACTTACTGTGAAGTAAGTCAGCCAGAGATCTAGGTCAGGTGCTCCAATGAGAAGCTAAGGCAACAATGAAGTGTAGAATGTAATAATAGCAATAGAAACAAAGTACACAATAAAGGTAGTGCACTTGAATCGTTCCAAACCTGTGCCCCTGACTCATGGAAAAATTGTCTTCCATGAGTCCCTGGCGACAAGAAGTTGGGAAACCACTGGTTTAGTAGACTCCGCCACTCTCTCTACACAAGCTCCCAAGAACCCCCAGCTCTCCCTCAAGCCAGCTAGTAAATAGTTAATGTCTCTAGGAGCCTGCTTCTCTGCAGTAAGCCTAGCTTCAATGACATGATGCGTTGCAGGATTTTTTGTGACAAGTCAATGCTACAACACATATAAAACTCTTGAAAGGCATTTGGCCTAGGAAAAGTCATTATAATAGTTGTTACATGAAGTACAAATTTGTAGGCATTTCTGCTAAACTATCCCTACCATCTCCATCAAATGCATGACATTTCCGCACTCTTTCTTTTTTTTCTTCATATTCACTTGCCAAATTCTTACAGACTTACAGAGCTCAGATTAAAATGCCACAATCACCACAAAAATTCCAGTTTGCAGCTTCCAAAAAAGCCATTTCTGTCTTCTGACCAGCTATTAATACATTGTATGTATCATACTAAAATCAGTTACTATCGTGTAATATAATCTTATGTACGTTTTTATGCCCTGCTGGATTATAAATTCATTTAGAGAAGTACTATTCCAGAGATATACAATTTGAGACCCTTGTAATGTTCTAGTGGACACATAAAAGATAATAGCAATTTAAATTAATTTAATAATACTCAGTTGAACCAGATATGACCAGAATATTATAAAACTTACCGTGTAATCAGTATAAATTAATGAAATTATATATATTTAGAACACCTCATTTCATAGGAGCCATGTTTCAATTGTTCTGTGATGGCCATGTGTGGATGGTAGCCACCATTCTGAACAGTGCATCCCAGAGCATGTATTGTCCTCTACATTCTGTATTTATCATAATGCCTGGCATAACACATTCATTATCTCAGAAGCTCAATTAATATTTGTCAATTAATTACTTATTTTGCTAATTAACTTAAAATCAATACAAGGTTTATCTATGGAAAACACACTTCTGCTAATTATTAGACAAAAAAGTGTAAGCCAGAAAATAATGATTTTACCTTTCTTTATAGAAGAAGTTTGTTTTTCTTAGGGAGTAATAAAATGCAATTTCAATTATAGTACACATTAATAAAATAGTTTATATGTACCAAGTCCTGGAAAGCAATTGAATATATATGGGAATAAAATGTGTTTATTGGTATGTTTGATATGTTTGAATAAATAATACTACTTTCTGACTAAAATAAAACTCTTAAGTAAGAGTAATTAACTCATAAATCAAACACATGGCATTTGGTAAGGCTCAGTGAAAATATTTTCCTGCCATTTTCCTAATCACCATGATTTTTCTGTAAAGTAATATGCTCTGAAATGTATTCATTACCTTCATAAATGATTTCTCAGACACTCAGATACTGCTCCAGAAAATGAATAGCATTGTTTCCATACTCATAAAAAACACACTGGGAGGAACAGATTGATTTGAATTGCTCTTGTTAGAAAAACATATATGAAAAAGGAAAAATTCCAAAGCTAGGCCTGTCTACTCATCCCATTTCAATTTTATTGTTACCTTTCTTCTTAACTTTATGTCTCTACTTGCCTGCAGAACAGGTAGGGGTGGAGCATTATAAAGAATTAACAAAATATAGTAATTAAGAAAGTAAAAGAGCTTACCTTTGGCAACCTCAGTGGTAATTTGCAAATTGGCAACTGGTAATGGTTTTCACTAAGTCCAAAAGAGGGATCCAAGTTAGAAGTTATCTTTTCCTTGGGTATTATATAAACTGCAATTGTCCCCTTATAATGAGGGCAGCTATAGTTTCCAAATTCATCCACTTCTTTGAGCTGAAGTTCCAGCCTGGTCTTCCTTTGTAAGTGAAAAATAAGCCTGTGGTCTTTTCCATAATCCTTCCCATTGCCTAAGTAGAAATAAAATTAATTTGTTACCATTAAGGCACATCACTTTGTCTTAGTTTTTGAAACATAAACAATCGTTTCATATTGAAATACAAAGTATTCTTTTAACATGTGCTATTGTTTCTTACCAAAACATAACTTGACAAAGCAGCAAGAAATTGAGAATGTTGATTACTACAAAGATTTTTCATCTTCAATCTGGTCCTGTGATTTTTAGCTGCCCCTACATCTAATAATTTTCCATTTCCCATTTTCCCCCATCTTTCTGGAACAAGAAACTATTAGAAACAATCAGCTCTCTCAGTGTTTAGAAAATTATCTTCATGCTTCAAGAATGAACTTTTTCCTTTGCTCTAACTCTTCCTATCATATTTTACATACTCATATCCTCATAACAGACATTCTAGTACTGCACTTTCCTATAGCACGGCTATTTCAGTTAGGGTGAAATGTAATTAAAATTAACTAAAATTTAAAATTCAACTCCTTGGTCACTCTAACCACATCTAAAATGCTCAATAGCCCCATGTCAGGTGGCTACCTTATTGACTAGCACAGAAATAAAACATTCTCTTGCAGAAACGGATATTGGTGTTTCACAACATTCAAATGGACTAGCTTTTTGATTTTTCTTATTGAAACTTTCAAGAAAATGTGATGGATGCTTCTAAAATAATTATATAAATAAAGGTTTTGATTCCTTACTGAAAATACTGATGCTTTTGTGAAGACAATCTTTCACTTCCAGGTCTTTCACAAGGACAATCTAGATGTTTTGTTCTGGTATTCTAACAGTAGAAGGGGCACTGCAGTATATGTCTTTACCTTTGCAAAATGTATAGGACTATAAATGTAGCAGTTATGATAACATATTTTGGAAAGAAAGATCTAGATTCAAGTCCAGCCATCATCATTTTCTGCACCTACCATTTTTCTAATCCTTTCATATTTTTTGAAACTTTAATTTCCTTATATTTAAAATAGGAAGAAACAGGGGCCAGGGATTTAGCTCAGTGGTTTCGCCACTTGCCTTGCAAGCACAAGGGCCTGAGTTCAATCCTGATACCAAAAAAAAAAAAAAAAAAAAAAAAAAAAAAAAAAAAAAAAAAAAAAAAAAAAAAAAAA